TTAATGCCAACCCCCATTTCTGTTCCCCAACCTCAACTCAAGATCCTGGATTCTGAATTGCTGGAGGACTTGGCCTCAAATTGGCTCTTTTCACTATCGCTTCCATTGGAGTAAGAACATGTTCCTATATGATCTTGGGATGGAGGAGGCAGCAGACTTGCACGGGCATGTATCTCTAAGACTGGGTTAGGTGAGAATGAAGGATTGCTTCTGTCTAAGATCTGCCTGGCCAGGTTTCAGGAGCTACACCAACTTCAACATCAAGGCTGGAAAGGAGGGGAGGCAATAATATTCAGTGAGAAGTTGATGTGAACAGATACACTGTTCTACTAATGGCTAAATCTGAGGTACAGAATGTGAAATTGGGTGTCAAGGGCAAGCAAGGGTACTGCTAATGTAGCATCACCCCTGCTAGCCACCATACTGTCTTCCTGAATTGCCTAACTCTCATTGCCTAGCTAGTGGTGGACTCTCCCAGACAACTTCAACCTCTGTGCCGTGGAGGTATGGTCTAGGACAGCTTAGAAGTTTATGACTGCCTTGAAAACCATGGGTTGCCCCAAGTTACCACACTTCCTACTCAGACTGGAGCCACACATTAGATTGGCTTTTTACCTCAGAGCAGTTCAAAGACATTAACACTAGTCTTTTGTCATGGTCAGATCACTTTCTGATATCCTTGATACTCATGGCCACTAACAACCCTGTAGGGAGGAGAGAGGCATTAAAGGGGGTTGGCCCCAGGCCGCTTATGGATCTGCTTGGATTCAAGGGGCACATGCGGAGTTTCTCAGCTGTCTCTTAAGGAGTGCTTAGTTGGGGCTCTTAATTGAATTCTGAAACACAAAACTGATGAAGATACTTGGCATCCTGAGCATCCTCTCCCTGTGCATTGATCTGGGGGTCCTCTTTGGTTTAAAGAGGAGCTCCAGGAGATGGTGCATGCAGATGAGGAGACACATGCAGCAATGCTGTTGAAAAATAAAAAGGGAAGATGACTGAATATAGGTGGCAGTAAGGGTGATGAAGCATCAATATTTCTCCATGCCATCTGCCACCTTATTTAATGTGACCTAAATCACTGTAGGACCCTCCAGTAGGCCACTGTGACCAATTTACTAGGCATTTTGCAGAAAAAATCACTCATATCTATTCGGATTAGATGCTGGGCAGGCCTTGTGAGATGACAGAGATAACATCTTGCAAAGTCATCTGGGACTTTTTCAAGCCTGTGACAGCTGAGAACATGCGACAGAGTCCTCTCTTGAATGAGCCTCTCTTTTCCTTCTTCTATCTTACCTGTAGAACTGCTGGCTTGACAGAAGCTATGCCAAGAACATCGTCAATCTGTTGACTATTGAAGTTTGAAAGCCCAATAGCTTTCACCAAGTCTTTTGACACCAACTTTTCCATGGCCTTCCATGTATCTTTGTAGTCAATATAATCATAACGCATTGTGCCATCAGGATTCTTGGGGAAGAGATTATCTCCTCGCCTATTATAAAAATTAGATAAGAAATCTAATGCACCTTTCAAATAAATAATTACTTAAGAGGTATTTATTAGCTTAAAAAAATTTCATAGCTTTATGAACTATACAAATGAATAGTAGAATGAACACATCATAAAACAAAATAGTTCCCACAAGTCATAAGTAGTTTTTCTTAGAGTTTTAGCATTATGCTTGACAAGTAACAAAACAACATTTGTGTAGGAGTTGGATCATATGTAAATCCACAATGTCCCCCCCACTTTTCTAAAAGGGGTAAACTTCAGCCTCTCTCCCTCACCGTCCCCCTGCCCTGCACTCCAGATTTAAATAAATAAAGAATTTTGGTTTAATCTTTTAATTTCCCTCCTACTGAAACTCACTCAAAGGCATGTGGCCAGTGCATAAGATAGAGGTCTAGGTAATCCAGCTTCAGATCTTGCAGGGTCTTCCTTAAAGCTGGCTCCACATCTTCTGGATGGTGTTTGGTGTTCCATAGCTTTGATGTAACAAACAGCTCTTCCCTTTTAACAGCCTTTAAAAAGAACAATGAGCAGTGAATCATTGTTTTGTTTCAAGTATTTCTTAATACAAGAAATCTTAATACAAGACATCTCACCAAAGAGGAGCACCAAAGAAGAGCACAAAAGGTGGGCATTTCTAACTTACATACTGCTCATTTCAATATCTCTGCATTAATATTTCAGGTTCTTCTATCTCTGGCTCAGGAGAAGGAAATGAACAGACGAATCTGTGTAGAATGGGAGAAGCTTCACTCCAAAGTACAAATAAGTTCTAAAATTCTTATGAGATTGTTTAGATTTCTTAAGACATCCAAACAATCCCATTTCTATCAAAAGTTCCTATGTTTCAAAGTTTTAGCACATACCACAATGCCACATTTAATGTAATAATGTTTCACTTTATGCCAAACATAATAAGCAAACTTTCACCCTCTCTTAATTATGTTTCATATATTTCCCTTCTAATATCTACATTCACTTTCAGTTGTTTTAGCAGAAACATAATTAACTGACAATTTAACTAGATGCTACCCTGCCAATAACTCTTGTTTTTACATATTAAGAATTTATCTTTTCATTTTTAAGTCCATTCTTTATTTATCTCTTCATAATTATCTCAGTTTTTAAATGCTATTCCTTCGAGTTGATCTCAACTTCTGATGATTTGAAGGATATGTCCATGCAGTTTTCATGCTGCCAATACCAAAATGGTTTGCCCCTCCCTTTGAAGATGTTTTTCAACTCTACAGCCCAATCTACAGCCCTGGATTTCCATGCAAGTCTCCCATCCAAGCAGTAACCAGGCCCAGCTCTGCTTAACTTTTAAGCTCAGACAAGGTTGGCCAAATGCTATCATCTGCTAAAACTCTTAATCTGTCCATCTTGATTTTAAATACTACTTTCTTTCTCACTGTGGATCACACTTACTCAAAACAACCACCTATACAACTATTCCTATTATACAAAGAATTTTATATTTCCAATATTAAGAACTAGCCATTTAGGCATGAGAAAAGCTCTACATCTGGTCAAGCAGTTTTTAAGGCAGGCGCCACCACTATGACATTTTACAAGATCTTGTATGCATCAGAGATTAAACATTAATTTTAAAAAGTAAAGAAAATGAAAGATAATAATAATCCTCTTATTTTGCAAGATTTTGGCTATTTAATTAAAAAAATTATTTTGAGGTGAGTGGACACATTTAGGAATATTGTAGGCATTACAGCACCATTAGGCACTATTTAATGCTGTGGACTGACTTAATCAGGAATGTACAGTATACAAATATGACAAATATATAAATACATTTTGCCACCCTCACAACTGTGTATTACTAAGTCCATGCATTTCAACTACAAAAATATCAAAATGTAACAGTTTGTAGGAAAGTGTTTGTATCCTATGGTTTGTTGGTACCAATTAAGTTCATGAAAATAATACAGGGAGTCCTTGACTTATGACAGCAATTGGGACCAAACTTTCCATCACTAAGCAATGCAGTCATAAAGTGTAACCTCATCGCTTAGCAACAGCAATCCCTGCAGTCCTGATTGCTGTTGTTAACTGAATCCCACAGTCATTAGGCAAGGCAACTTTCTGCTGGCTTCCCACAGCCAAAGTCAGTGGGGAAGCCGGCAGGAAGTTGCAAGTCCCAGGCCCACAGGCAGGTAAGGGGCTGCTGCTGGGTGGGGGAGGGAGTGAGGGGATGTGCAGGGGTGGGTTGGGGAGGGTGTATGAGGGGCACCATGCAGGTTGGGGAAGGGGTGCGCAAAAGGGTGTGCAAGGGAGTCACAAGAGGCACCAAGTGGGTCAGGGAGGGTGTGAAGGGGTGTGTGAGAGGCACAGTGTGGGTTGGGAAGGGTGCGCGAGAGGTGCCATGCGGGTCAGGGAGGGTGCGAGGGGGTGCATGAAAGGCGTGGGTGGGGGAGGGTGCACAAGGGTGCAAAGGTACGTGCAAGGTGCCATGCAGGTTGGGGAGAGTCAGGGACAGTGCATGAGGATGCACAAGTCGTGGCACAGGTCAGGAAGAGTGTGCAAGGGTGCAAGGAGTGCACAAGAGGTGCCGCATGTGTCAGGGAGGGTGTGGCACAGGTCAAGGAGGGCATGCGAGGGGCTGCAAGGGAGGTACAGCAAGGCTGGGTGGGGGTGCACGAGCGCAGAGGGGCTGGGGAGGGGTGCGTGGGTGAGGGAGGTTTACCCCAGCAATTTGCGACCTTCCCTGCTGGCTTCCCCATTGACCTTCTGGGGAAGCCGGCAGGGAAGGTTGCAAATGGTGATCACATGATTGTGGGGCGCTTGGCAACCAGTCGTAAGTGCAAACGGGTTGCCAAGCACCCAGATCACATTCACATGACTCCAGGGGTTCTGTGGATGACTGGAACTCCGAGGACCAGTCATAACCACCATTTGTTCAGCATCATTGTAACTTGGAACAATCTCTGACCAAATGGTCATAGGTTGAGGACTACCTGTATGCAGATTATATAAGATGCATGCCCAAAACAGGAAAACAAGGCATACTTCTTCAATTCAGGATATATTTCTGATTTGTTCTGAATCCTAGGATTGCTTATTAATTAGTACATCTTTTTGTGATGTCTGTACTATAGCATATGATCCTGGGTTTCACATTCTGATCACTATCTAATGAAACTTCATTTCCAGAAACACCCAACCGCAACTTCTCTTAAAGTGTTTCTTGTGAAAACTTTCAGAGTGATAGAAAGTTAAATAAATAGAGCCAGGGTAGAATTTGCAACACAGAATCACAGCAGAACATTGCTTTTGATGTTCACAGGTTTTTAAAGAGAAGTCCTTTCTGCCATTCTTTTTTAACAGGAACCCAGATAATTCCCTTTTTTACCTTGTCAGCCCCAACAGTCTCCTGGAGAGCTTCACCTATTTCTGCTTCGTTGCTATAAGCTGTAGCACAGTCAATGTGGCGATAGCCCACACTAAGGGCGTACTTTACAGCCTCCTTTACCTAAAACAGACAATGAAAAGAACAGTGGATTAGAGTGGGAGGAAGTTCATTCCATTTTACCATTTTACCATTTTATCTGATTTGATAATTAATGATAAAACAAATGTAAGAGTTGCTTAAGATATATTGTATATGGTTGGAGCATATACATATACCCAAAGGAAAGACAAGAGAATGACAAAAGGGGAAAACCCATAACTCTCACTGCATTCTTAGGAGACAACTGTGTAAGTACAATAGTCAGGCTGTTTTCTGTGGCAGTGCCCTAACTCAGAAATGCACATTATTTCTGCCTTTTGACAAAAAAGGAAGGCATTTATTTTGGTAGCCCTCATTATCTACAATATTGCCGTGCATTCTGATTATTTCACCAGCTTTCTTGCCTTAATAAATAGCTACAAATTGAAAGAATCTGGAAATGACTCTAGGAAGGATCAGCAACTTGTTCAATCATGT